TCATCATTCCTTTCTTCACTTACCTTCCGAACCTTACGCAAATAAGAAGAGAGCAGTGATAAAACTGGAAAAAAAAGAAAGTGGTAAGGAAGATGTTGATAAAACCATTATGGTGAAGAGTGCAAACAGTGCCTTGCCAGCCTTCCGAGTCCTGTCTTTCATGGGTATGCAAATGAAGTACTGTCGTCTCATCACTTCCGTCAAAACTCTTCACTAACTGAAGTTTTTATTACTAGGGGTTCTCAGTTTCTTCATTGTCAACAACCATACCACGATGAAAAGGCTGAAATGTGTTGGGGACGGAAAGACTGTCTGGGAATGAAACATTGGAATAAATTGTCGGCCACAGCTTCCTCTCCTAAGCAAAAATTCGGTTCGTTCTCTCAACAGTATAAAATCACAGATTCGAGGACAAAAATCCATATTCCCTTAATCCCACTCATCAAAATTTCAAAAATCAGTGTTTCAAAAATTCAAAGCATGTTTTTTTTTTTCGAAAAAGTATAGTTTTTAACACGGTGCAGCATTGCACAGTGCACGATGCCAACGGTCTAAAAAAAGCAAAAAAAGCCAGAAAACCCCGATAACAAATAAACCTCACAGCTGCGGTAAGTCGAATATATTGGTATTTGCTTGCTTTAAGAATAAATTATTCCTTCACCGGATAAATAAGGTTTTTGTTACGAATATTCCTGTCAATGAACTGCAGAACAAAACTAAGAGTTTTGATAAAAAGTTGAAAAAAACACCGGTTCCCTTTGAAATTTAGTGTTTGTAAACACTGTTAAAAAAAGAAGAAGCATACTAAATTGGAGACTTCAACATTTCATATTTTTTTATTTTCTTTGTATACTTAAAAATAAACTTTTTACATATGAGGCATATTCCGCTAAACGCATTTGGCACAATCCGGATTACGACCGCCGCGAAGAAATGGCGCCGTCACTTCACGAAGAACAATGCAACTTCTCGAGATAAGGAAGCCTTTTTCACCTCTCGTCAATCCGATTAACTTTGTTAATCACTCTTCTGATTTCAGACTATCTTCACTTCCAGGCTGCACATTTAAGAACCTTGTCAGTCCAAAAGAATTTCATAAAATACGGTCGATTTATTGTTAGAAGGTTTATTGCGACAAATTTATTTTTTAAACCATGATATACAAGCATAAACCAGATATACCTACAACTTCAAATCTAAAAAGTCGAAAAGTTTATAGGCACCCTGAGAGTACATTCCATATTATCACTATGAAATAAAAGACGAAGAGCACATATAGTAGAATAGGCCAAAATATATAATTTAGAATTATAAACTTTCTGAACAGTATGCTCTAAATTCTCCGAAAAAAATTTCAGTAGATAAATGCTTCAATATCAGTTTTCTAATGTTGTAAGTCAAAAATCATTTATGATACATTTATTCCAGTTTTCTTAATACACGTTAAACGGACCAGTGGAGAAACAAGTGGCCACAAAAACTTTGATCTCTGAACAAGTAAAGTTAGTGGTGTACCTCCCCTTCAATTTTACTTTTTTTTTTCTCCAAAATTATTTAAGCGAGATGAAAAATGTCTGAGTAATCAAAATTTGTTCTATCTCCAGCGAGTCCGACAATGAAGTCATTGGAATCCATTCTGGTAGCCATCGAAAAACAATTATACTTTAAAATCAAACCACCGCTCTCGACGATGCAGTTGCGCGCAATGCAATTGGCTGTACGCACAAAGATGTGTCCCCTCGGTCGGCTGCAATTGAAGCTCCTGCGTTGGACAATTGCCAACAGCACTTTACTAATTTCCACTGTATTTGCATGCCGAAAAGCCGAGCAATTATAGCGATGTCGTCGTTCGAGCAGTTTCAGTTCCAGTGCTTGCCTTGGCAATGCTGTTTTGATGATGGAAGAGTAGGGCGGGTGTTGCTTCTCCAGCTACTGATGATGTTGGCTGCGGTGATAGTGTAGTGTGTTGAAAGAAATTTTCAATAATTAGGTCT